CCCCACCCCCCCCGCCGGCCTGCCCCCCCTCTTTCCTGGGAACTAGGCAACCAGAGGAGCAGAGCCACACACAGTTGGAGCAGGGTGCACAATAAACACATGGGCCCCATTTGGTGATTATCACCTGTAGCCTCAGTTATTCAGGAGGCTGAGGTGGGGTTATCCAGTTGAGCCCAAGAATTTAAGGTCAGTCCTGGCAACATAGCAAGCTTTCTCTCTCTCTAGACAAACAAACAAACAAACAAACAAACAAACACCCCCCAAAACAAGAACAAACCAAACCTACCATCACTACCAACTGGCCACTAATTGCACTGAGATTAAAGTTAGACTTGAACAAGCTAACATGACAAAGAGACCAGATCATGATGAAGAGGACAGGCTTGTCTGCCAAGCTGATCCACAAAAGTTCCTCACTGGACTGCACGGCCAAGGTGCTGATTCTTAGCCCAGAATAAGTCATGGATAACCAGGTATCTACCACAACTGCTCAGAGAGACTGCCACTTCATTCCTGCTTGAATTTGGTGAGGTGCCTAAAATTCTAGAAATGCATGCATGTACACACACACACACACACACACACACACACACACACACACACGTAGCAAAATTACAAAAACTGAGGGAAATGGAAAGATGTTTCTGTTTTCCCTAGGTCTATGAGGCTGTGCGTAGGTGTCAGGACCCTCAGGTGCTCAAGTTCCTTATATAGCACAGGCCCTGCACAGGGCCTCTCTCTGCACACCCTCCAGCAAGCCTTCTAGTTGTGACGCCTGACACAGGCCTGTGATGTATACATGGCAATGGGTATTCAGTTAGTATGACAAGCACAAGGGTCTATGAATAGTCAACAGATAAGGCTGTTTCTGCTGAATATTTGCAGGTCCAGGATTGGTTGACTCTACAGATAAGGGACATAGAGAGTGACTGGGTTAGCACTCCTACCACGATGTTTCTTTCTAGTCAGTTTTACAGTGAGCCAATTACCAGTGTGGGCAGCTACAACTGTGGGCATATTAAAACTACTGCAGGAATTACGTGTACCAATTATGGCTTTAATGGTGTGTTCAGAACAGTATGAGATACAGTCAATGCTTAAATGTCTAGGGGAGAATAAAGTACCTTTCTTATAGCAAAGACACAAATGTTCAATGGATTTGGGCAATATGTATGTCACATTAGCTGTGCAAATAAACGGGGTGTAGCCACCAAGGTCAAACCCGGCCAATACAGGCAGTGAGTCTGGAGGAGCCCTGCAGGCAGACACCTCCAGGTCTCAGGGACCGGAGCAAAGTGGTGTCTGGCTCCCTCTGCTGGCAGAGTAGTGCTTGGACATGCTGAACAGTGCTAGAGAGAGACAGTCAGAAGGACCAACAAACAAGAAAAATAACAAAACAAAAATAAATTATACAAGAAAACCTTTTGATCCAAAACCACTCAAACTCCTAGAGAATAGGGAAGGGAAGAGACAGAGAGACACAGAGAGAAAGAATATCAATTCAAGACTATCGAGTTTAAACATACAATAGGGCAAAAATCTGAACAAAATTTTCAAGTAAGTTAGTTTATAAACTAACCAGAGAGATGGCTCATCAGATAAAGGTGCTTGCCACCAAGCTTGACAACTTGAGTTCAGTCCCTGGGACACACATGGTAGGTAGAGAGAACTGACTGACTACCCTAAGTGGTCCTCTGATTTCTACAAGTGCACTGTGGCCCACACATGGGTGTGTGTACACACACATACATGTACAGTGCATCACTTTAAATTCACGTACACATGAATTTAAAACTTCAAGAAAGTCTGGGAGAAAATATTTAGTGCTAATAAAAACGACAAGATTTCGTGTGAAAGAAAGATGAAAGGGTAGACAGACAGCTCACCTGGGGTAAGTGACACTAGAACAGAAGCAGCCAACTGCAATCTTGGTGAGCCGCCGTGCATCTCCACTAGAGGTCGCACAGGCCCACACAGACAGAAACCTGGACTCCTGCCAACTGGTAGTGACCATTTGGCTTCACAACCCTCACTCCACATGCACAAACGTGCATGCCAGAGAAAGTCTGGCAGCGTGTACTCTGGGGATCAAGTCAGTCTCGTGAGCTGGCTAAGCCTAGCAGTCAGCATCCAGCAGTCATCTGCACCAGGTTGGGGGACCATCCTGGCCCCATCAGCAAGGAACCCCCATCCTATGAAGGCCCCTCAGATTCACTGGTAATGTTGGAGTATTTAATAAGGATGTCACTGGTGTTATTAAAAATTAAGACAGGTGAGCAAGCCAGGCCCTGTGCGACAGAATAGAGGTGGTGTCTATGGGGAGAGGCAGTGGATTCAGGAAAACCTAATGTTTTGGCTCAAGGTATGCTGGAGGCTTGGTGGATGAAGGTTCTGACTTCAGGGTGGCATCCTGGGGTGGGCCCAGGGTCAGCAAACCCCTAAGTGTTCGATTGCCTCAAGAAAATGACTGCTATACACCAGTCCTGCAGCTCAATGCCATGTGTGGAGTCCAAGAAACATCAGTACTGGGTATCAGTGATTAACCACCCCCCATGGGTCAGCTGGCTTTGAAAGGGGATGGGACATGGCTGACTGTGACTAGAGCTTGACATATTCATATGGGTGGCCCATCTGCCATTCAGACACTAAACACTACCATTCGGATGCATCATACTGCCCAGTGAAACTGGCCTTGAACACAGGCCTGTGAGCACCTGCTCAGCACTCAGGTACTAACACATCTTTCTGGGAGGCCTGGTTCCAACACAGCATACAAACTGATGCTCACCTTACTGGTGCAGGGAGATTCTAACCACAAGCTGGGTGGGCTGAGTTTCTGGGGTGGATGGATTGCCTCTTAGCTTCCCACTGTGTAGCAATGAGGAAAGCATATCTGTGTTTCATCTCCTTGACTTTATACAACATCCCAGTGGGAATGTACAGGAACCCAAACTCAGGGTTAGAATCCCAGCATCTCCTTTCCCTAGATGTGTGGCCTTGGAAGAGTGAGTAAATACTATCCATTGTGACATTTGAATGGGTCACAGTAGACCCCTTTATCCAGTTGCACCCTCTGAGGTTTTGGTTACTAGCAACCGTTTGTGGCCCCAAAATATTAATATGTTTCTGAGCATTTCCAGAAACAAGCAATTCCTAAGTTTTAAGTTGTGTTCAGTTATGAGCACCATGGTGGGCTGGTTCAGTTACCACCAAACTCTGTCCCTCTTGGAATGTGCACCATTCCTTTGTCCAGTGTATCAATGTTGCATGTCCTGTCCACATGTTAGTTACCCTCTCAACAGTTGTTAGGGTGGCAGTGCTGTTGGCCAAGCAACCCTTATTCTACTTAATAATGGCACAAGAGTAGTGATGGAGACAATTATATCACAGTATATCATTAAACTTGTCCTGTCTTATTGGTTGTTCATCCTTCACTGTGTCTAGTTCATAAATTAAACTCTACTATAGGTATGTATATTAGGAAAACAGTCTATATGTCTGGGTATCATCCCAGGATTCAGGCACCCTTTGGGAAACATGCTAGTGCTTCCCTTAGATAAGGGGAGGTTACTATAACCTTCTGTAATGTATTTTCCTTACTGGGCACTTGGCCTGTCTCCACCCCGCTTCAGGCCTCTCTGGACTCCTTTGCATCAGTGATTCTTAAACTACCGCGGCACGAAGCCAGCTTCAGGAAGCAGAGGAGGACCACCCCTAGATCTGGGTCAGGCTAGAGAAGCTGCATCTCTAAGTGGTCTCTGGCGAAGAAGCAGTTTGAGAACCCCGAGTTTTTAAAGCTCTCTAGAAAGGGTCTGGTAGACTGAGGTATCAACGACCTCTAGCTTGGCAACCCCGGGGGTTTCCACGGAGAGCAGAACAACTTGCTGAGCCTGCAGTGGGATGTGCAAGGATGCTCTCGGGGTGCTGAAGGAGTCAATCATTATCCCTAGAGTCAGGCGCGCCAGGGTTCATCACGGGCAGAGGGAAGGGATGAGCGGGACCGGTCCCTGCTTACCTTTGGAGGAAAGAAGCCACATATTGACCCACCCCGGTGTGCCGCCCACCAG